TTATTTCTTAGCAGTTTAGTGGGTCACTTCTGGCTTTGCGAGGCATCTTTGTCAAACAGCTTAATCCTGTGGATTACTTGACTCCTGATGTGTTTTACAACTGCTTACATCTCCTCCAAATAGATGTTATTAAACCTGTGAGTGCCATACCTACAGAAAATGACGCTGGACAACCTTGGGCTAAAATTGCAACCATTTCGGCCACAGCCCCATGGGTCCTTCATGGCTCAAGACTCAACAATGTCCAAATTACAGAGGTCGAATCGAGGAAAAATGTCTACATGGCAGGTACTCAAACCAAGTCTAAGTGTCTGCTTTTGGAAAGCTGGAGTTTGGTTAAAGCAAAGGTAACTGCCCAAGTGGTGAACGTTTCCCTGGGTGGGTACTTTCAGACGTGCACTAAAGGCTATAAAGATATTTGCAGAAAATGGGAGGAAAGAGGTTACAAAGCTCTGGTCCATCTCCAGCTTCTCCCTGCTCCCATGACCGTGATTTCCCAGGCTTCTGCCCCAGATCTGTGCCCTGCGAGAGCTCCATAGATGGTTTCAGTGCAAAGAATTGGGTTAGGGGAGGGCTGCTGCGTAAGTTGTCCCACACAAGGGAGGTGCTGGCCCCGGGGGTCTCATCCCTTGGGGTCGTTGAAATCGGCATCGATTTCTGAGGGAGCTCTGTGTTACTCTGTCATCTCTTCTGGGGGTGAGAGGAGGGATCGTGCCAGCCTTGTTAAACCAGCCCTGCCTTACCCTGAGGTGGTGAATCCAGGTCTGGTTGGTTGGGAGTCCTGAAGGGGTCCTGGAGACCATCTGCCTTCACCTACACAGTCCAGTCCCCACACAACTCATCCCCTGGTGTCCAGGGGCTATCACCCAGTGTGCTGAGCAAAAAGGCGATTCTGCAGTGGGGTCACCACAACCCCAGGCAGCGCTCCAGGTGTGGGGCAGAGGGGCTGGAAAGCTGCCCGGTGGAAAAGGCCCTGGGGGGTTGGTCGAGAGGGGGCTGGATAGGAGCCAGCAGGGTGCCCAGGTGGCCAAGAGGGCCAGCGGCATCCTGGCTTGGTTCAGGAGTGG